TCTCTTCGTCAACGTGGGACCGTGGACTTCATTGGATACTTTACTAACTACTTCTCGGTTGGGATGGACGCCCACACTGCTTACGAAGTTGGGAGAGTGCGGTCGTCTGGTTTCGGTAAGTGTTGCTTTCGGATGCGCTGCTCCCCACTGTGCCGATTTCTTCATGGCGGTCTGCTTTGTCTGACAAAACAGGGGTCGGGGGTCCATCCCGGAGGTCCTTCATTTAAGGGGCATTTTGGGGTTTAGGGTGCCTGATTTTCCACATTGTGATCGTACTGATCATGAAGGTCTTTGATGGCTCAAATATGATTTTGCGACTAAAAATTCTCAATCATTCCAGTCTTCAGACGTTTCTTGAGCATCCTGCAGTTGCAAGTGGGTGTCGTGCCTGCCAGGGAAGCAAAAGAAGCCTAAACCCCCGAAGCCCGAAAACTCTAAACCCTGAACCTAAAAGGAAAAGCCCAACACCAACACCCGAAAACCTGACAGCCCTAAAGCTCCACTCCCGAAGACCCCAAAACCCAAAAACCCTGAACCCAAACCCGACAGGAGCCCTAAACCCTAAAGGCCCTAAACGGCCCTAAAGCCACACGGCCATGACGGACCAGCCCGAGGGAGCTGAGGCGAAGCGTCGGAGAAAGTTATGCCTTTTGCCTCTTGGCCTTTTTTGGGAGAGGGTTTAGCTAGGGTTATAGTTTAAGGGGACGGGGTTTTCTGGGGCTTCATGCATGTTTTGTTTGGAAGGTCCCCTCAGGGTTTAAGTAGGGACCAGGATTCCACTCAAGGGCTATTTTTGTTTAAAGGTCTGTCTTTTTCCATAGGGTTTGTAGGGCAAGAGGCGGAGTCTCCTGCCTTTTGACATGATCGAGCCTTGGAGATTCCAAGGTAGTTCTTCAAGTGGTCTAGCAGTGCAGCAGGCAAGAAAACCCGAAACCCAAAGCGACAAAACTAGACCTCGTGAACCCAACCCTAATATTGCCGCCAAGCGCAAATCCAATGATTTCAAGAAGAAGAGGTCTGCCGGGATCACCTTTGATGAAGTGGCAGCGGGCTTGAACAGTCGCGTTTCCCCCGAGGACGCTCTCGGGGCCGAGGTTTTGGCAGCACTTTCTCAAGGTTAAAAGGACTTAAGCCAGAGCCTTAAGTCTCAGACCATTATAGTACAGAAGACTCCCCGAGGATGTAATTAGGCCGTCGTAGGCCCGAAGCGGTCAAGCAGAACCCGGCAGCCCAATTCCGAAAGACCATTCCATGAGTCCAAAAGACCTGCCGCACCGTGGCATGAGCACGACTGGCACCCCAGACAACACACTGCACCGTGCAGGAAGGCGAGTCCCTCCAAGGTGTGCCCAGAACTGTGGTGGGAGCACGTGGCTCAGAGGGGGAAACACGAGACACTACGTCGGGAGCACGGGAATACGACACTCCGTGCAAGAAGCAAACCTGCGGCAATGGAGTGATCAAAGCCACAGTGATGCACTGGTTCGCCTTGTAATCTGCAGCATAGAGATATGTTACTTAGAACAGGAGTAGCACGTTCGATCACCTTGTTTTAGTCTCCGTGGTTGTAGCTCTGCTTCACGAGCCGTCGTATCTGTATTATACAAACTCTTCGCCGCTAGCAGTTCAGCAGTAGTTTCAACATGTAGCAACAGCAAGGAGGCTAGCATAGTATGGGCAAACTTTTGAGACTGTTTGTGCTGTTGAAAGGTGCACTGTCGTTTCAGTCATCGTCGTCGTCGTGGTTATTGCACCAGTGACACTGGCAACGCGCCCAAGCACTCAGCCCCAGCCACCTAAATCCTATACCCGCGACACCGTGTTTAAGTTGAGACTGGTCCTACATTCAAAAGCCCTGGAGGATGCAGATGCTTTGCGGGCATTGCGAAGGTGTCCCTAGGCAGAGATACGCCATGTTGAGGAATGTTCTGTTCCTTTGAAAGCCGCGAATTACCATAATTACACGAATGTTCCATATAGTCAGGACTGCAGGACTGCAGATTCCGGATTTCTGGTGTTTGTAAGCCTTCCATGTTTTGTTTGTTGGTTGCACAACCCGCAGACCTGGTTTCGTCTGAGCCTTCGCTGTATGTTAGCTAGAGAGATGATACTGCGACCGCTGAGTTTCTCAAGACTAGGCCTCTCTCCTTGTCTTGCCACGTTCATATTGGGGTGCCCTTCCCGCCACTCAGTGCGAACTCTCCAGAACGATGCACCTTTCAGCCCAAGTAGGCATCGCCCTGCTAGCTGAAACGATCTTTGATACCGCTTTGCCAGTATGATCTTGTTCTGGCAGATGCCGGAACCCCCTGTTGAGAATTGTGTTGGCAGCGATGTCGCGAGTAGATTGTTCGCTATTGTCGAGATCGTCACGAGTAGTCATCTCGAAAACAAACCTCAACGCGCACGCTTTCTTAACCCTAGCCTCTCGGCGCCCTAAACCCTATGCCATAAACTCTACTGGAATGGTCTCTCGGAAGCCCTTAGTAATCTAAATTCCCTAAAACCGAATGTTTTGAACCTAGGGCTGCCCCCCAAAGCGTCTTCACCAAGGTAAGCCCTGAGCTTTACGCCATTAATCTTAAATACACCGTTGCGAACCAGCCCGAAGCATCCCGGGTAAAACAAGCCCGTCTGCAAGCCAAAACAAAAAGCATTCCAAAACTCTGTACGACCCCCTGGAACCAAACAAAAATCACCTTAAAGAGAAAGCGAAGCCCTAAACCTTTTGAACAAGAAGCCTTAAAACAACAGCGGTAAAACCAAGAGCTAAATTCAGAAGGTAAAAGCCCAGAGGATGCCGAAGCGAAGGGCTGGATCCAGGCTTTAGAGGCACCAGCCTCTCGTGTCTTAGAGGGACTTGATTTGAATCGGACCCTGCAGGAGTTGTAGGGTCCCTAAACCCAACTCTAAGCATCGGAAGGGTTTGGAGGGTTTCTATGGAGCCATTTAGGGTTCAGGGCTTTGGGGCGTTAGGGATTGAGAGGTCTTTGGGTTTCAAGGGGCCCGGAGGGGTTTCGGGTGTCTAAGTGCTCTAATAAGTTGAGAGGTATCAGGGTTAGTCGATTTCGGGCTTGAAAGTGAAGGGTTGAGACTTCAGCAGCTTTTGGGGTTGATTGGGGTTGAGGGTTTAGGGTTTAGGGTTGAGGGAATTTGGGTTTAGGGATGCACACACACACATACATACATATATATATATATATATATTTTTATATATATATATATATCTGTGTGTGTGCATGTGTGTCTATATTCATATGTGCGGCTCACGCTCGCTTCGACAAATATGCATCACGACAGCTTAACTTTGAGGCGCACAGAAGCCGTGAGCAGTACTTTTCAGTCCTGGCCTGTGGCCCAACCACGATGTGTTGCCAAGACATGTAGACCGCCAATTGCAGCGCCATGACCTCACAACAGGAACCTTTCAGCACTTGCAGTCCTCGCAAGGCCCGGCACGGCGCTGGATTCTGGAAAGCGGACATGTTCGAGTGCACAGATTCTGAGACTTGGTCTTGGCATTTCGAGATGAGACCTTTGCTTGTGCCCTCGACCCTGCAGGTATAAGCCATGACTCTGGAGTTTCGAGCAGTAAAGGTGTGAACCCCCTACACACTCACCTGACCTCCGCAAGCCCAAACCACCACAACCCAAAACCCTGAACAGCAGGCAACGAAAACCCCAGAATACACCCATATATCAGCCCCCCATAGATCCTTTAGGGGAACCTCAACATTCTGGACTGCCCGCAGAGGAGTTCATGGCCCGCCTCGAAAGTTGGGGCCGGGAGTTTGCCTTGAGTATGGCATCCGACCTGCACTACTTGGGATGCTTTGGGGAACTTAGGGTTTATAGTTTAGAGTCTGCGCTGTTTAGGATGCTTTGCGGGTCAAAGTTTCTCTGAGCCTGGTGAAGATTATGGTGTTAAGTCTTATGTTAAGGGGTTCAGCGTCTGGTGTAGTGCGATGTGTATCTGTCAAATCCGGGGATTCCGCATGCCGTTTTGTGACGCCCCGAACCCCTACCGATGAATTGCACCGATGTTCCTGTTATCGTTAAGTCCGTTAAGCACCCCTCACTTTGCTTTTTCAATGGGCTGCAGACGCAGAGCGAAGTTTGAGACGTGGGAATGTGACCATATGTATCACGACTTGCCACTGGGCAGGTCATGGCAAGGGCTGAGATTATCGGATATATCGGATTAGGAGTTCTTGTTAACCGACTACGTGATCTGCTCAGGGTTTCAGTTTCAGCGATTTCGGGGGGGGGGGGGGGGGTTCCAGCAGGGGCGTAGGACGCTGGAAGATTTGGAAAGAAATCTCGGGTTCAGATATGTTTCACCCGAGACTTATGCCTTCAGGGCTCTATGGTGAAGGGTTACAGGGTTAAGGGGCTCAGGGCTTTTAGGGTTTAGGAGTTAGGGGTAGCATGGTTGAACGGCTTAGAGTTCAGGGTTTAGGGTTTAGTGGCCGGGCGAGCTCAGTTCAAGCCTGTGGAAAAGGGTTTAGGGGAACCATAAACCCTAAACCATAAAGCAGGGTTTCAATCCCTGCCAGCCTGCCAGTCAGGTGGGACGGGTATGGCCTGCCGCCATCTACGGCCAGCACAGGTTGCAAGTGGCCTACATCCAGGTCTGAGGAATTCAGATCCCAACCCTTATATACCCCTGGAGGCCCCAAGCCATGAAGTCATGTTGCATCATAGTATATTATAGTAAGCTATTGCATATTATAGTAAAATACCGGATATTATTGTGCTTTATCGCATATACTAGTTGGTGGAGTTTGTTTGACGACGCCTGCCCGCCGCACTGTGGAAGCTGTGGACAGGAGTATTTCAAGGCGAGGGCGAATGCCACCGAGGCCGAACTGGGACGCTTGAGGCAGCTGCTGGGATCTTGTTCAGGAATTAAGGTTAACATACATCCGGACCTGTAGTCTAAATCAGATGGTCCCCTTACTATGGCAACTGAAATTCATTAACAAGAACCTAGGCTGTCGGAGAAGGGGCCCGATCCTGAAGATGCACAGGATCAAGTTCTACAAGACCTTCGCCAGTTTTTCGACTGCATCCTCCAGGACCCACAGGTGAAGATCGTGGATTTGGCTGGTGGTCCAGGATGTTGCGCTGCAGGCGCCTGGCGCTTCTTTACTGGCAGCATGGGGTGCTGCGCTGTCGAGGCAACCGTTGCAGACCCTGTCGAGGAGTGCTTGGGTACAAAAATTGTGTAGGGGTCGAATAATTGGTTATTCTGTATTCCTTAGTTTGAGTCTTTGTTATATTTATACCATACTGTACCCAGCACCCTATTCAAATTGTATAGTGCCCTATGCAGGGGCTGTTAGTTGGAGAAGTGGGAGGGTTGTCGCAGCGGAGATAGGATGGCCTAGCAAAGATCAAGCATCGTGCCCCAAATTCCCACCGGGGCTGACCTAGGTGGTCATGGTGCCACGAGCTTCTGGGGCTGCAGTTTCGGCCCTGTGCCAGCTTGTCGGACACTCTTCCGCTTAGCGGCAAGTTTGGTTGAACACGATCGGCACTCAGCACATATATAGCCGGGCGCATATATGACCGCAAGTAAAGCGACCCGAATTCCACAAATGGGAGTGGGCCTGCTGCATTCTTATTTGTCCGCAGCGTGCTGCAACATGTCACCGATCCATCTGAGCGTTAGGTTCGACAGTCCAAGTGCCCCTCACCCCCAAGCACGAGCCTGAACCTCCCTGTCCCTGTCAAGCACTAAAGGCGATACTATACCCCCCCATTGTTGTGCTAGCTCAGGTGCCCAGGTTCCGACAGGATCAGGCGCGAGCTGTTAATGCCCATACAGGCACCATACACCAGAGCACAAAAGGATAACGTGCGTTTCAAGCTGTTCGGGTTCGTGTTTGGCGAACCTCAAACCTTGAACCAATAATGATCACACGAGAATAAACACAATCCGAATCACGACACCACCTCAGTAGCTGTAATGCTAGTTGTAGTTACCATGGCAATCATTCACAATCATAACAATCATGCCAGTCAGAACCACAGGATTAGCAAGTTTCGTTATAATTGACGGATAATGATATCCCTAACAAGAAAAAAGCAGAGCACGTCTAAAAGCACCCGACTCAGGATATGCTTGTGGAGGACTGCACCTTTACCGCTGATGTCGTCCTTCTCGGCTGGGCCATGCACCTTGGCCCTGGTCGTAAATCTCTAACTTACCGCAAGAGAGAGCAAAGTTGGCCCTGAAACCTAAATAGCCCTTTTGAAGCCTAGTGCAGCTTTATGTAGGCCTCAACCGGGGTGCAGGAGCAGGAAACAAGTGCTAGCCGATGTTATCGTGCTGCTGCCACGAAAGCCGAAAGCCATGATTGCAAGACCATCGCAAGTGGAGCTCGGTTACCTTAATGCCTGCTTCCTGACAGGGCGAGTCTGAATCATTCCCTTCCAGCCAATATCTCTCGCTCTCTCTCTCTCTCCCCCTCTCTCTCTATCTAGCCATCAATCCATCTATCGATATATATATATATTATATGTGTGTATATATATACATACATACATACATACATACATACATACATACCTACATACATACATATGCATGCATGAATGCCCCAGGGCCTTGAGATCCTAACCCAAGGCCTGGAGATCCGATCCTAACAGTCCTCAGCAGCAGAGTAAGTAGAAATTAGAGTTTAGCTTTCAGGCTCCTAGGAGATTGGACAGTAGGATTTTGGAATAACTTGGGAGCTTTGAGTCTTGTAGCTGTTACTTACGGTCCCGTACTCGATTCTAGTAACGCTGTTCTTATGGGTAAGGCCAGTGCAGTAAACCCTAGAACCTCGCAGAATCACGGCCGTGTTGGTAGAGTGGGCACTTGCAACTTCGACCCCGGACACGGTCGGGTGCAGACCTCTCTAAAACCCGGTGAAACCACAGAAAACCCCAAACCCTAAACACCTCCCTGTAGCCATTTTGGCTCAAGACATGCATATGCAAGATGGGGCCGTTCTGAGGGAGTGCCCCAAGAGGCTTCGGCAGCTGACTTTTCTTGAGGCCCTCCACTTGTCCAGGGAAGAGGATGAAGCACATGATGTCATCGAGGTTCTTGATTCCCAGGACTGAACCCCGCTTGGTGGTAAGTAGCCGTGTGTAAAACATGCGCTGCTAGTTTCCTTTTCCTTTGCTGGACTGGAATTTGTGAATTTATTGCTGGACTGTTGCATGTTGCATGTTTTTGATGTTGCATGGGATGATGCCTGCATGAGTTAAGTGATGATTTTGCATGCCAGTCCTGTCTGTCGGTCTCGTCTTCCCTTACCTACCGGTCCCCTACTTTGTTATGTTTTATCCTTCGCTCCCCTCCCTAACAACCACTAACCTGCCCTGCGCGAAGCCATGGACCACCAAAGCACTGCCTGGCGACAAGACATGGAGCGGACTGCAGAGAGAAAACGAGTAACCACCGAGTGAGGTGGAGAAAGTTTCCCTGGATTTTCTGTGGGCAGCAAACAAGGCTGCAGAAGCAGTGGCAATGAGTGACCGCACACTCACCAAATGTCTATTGGCTGCGAACTGGACAAGAAATGATGAGGGGAATTTTCGAGGTGAGTGAACTTGCGAAACCCTCTTTCTGGACGTTCCCATGTGAGCTGGAAGACTGGGCGAGAACAATGGCCACGCTGACAGGCCACTGCGCAACTGCACAGCTGCTGTAACACAGTTGATACTGCAACCTGTGGACCTTGACGACTCCGAATTCGAAGGAGAAGCCTGCTTCTGACAGTGATAGTGTGAGTCTTGAGTGACCACGGTATTTGAGGCTGCGACCAGTGCCCAGTAGCAACTCTTGCAGTTCTTGGACGGTATTTAGCTGCATGTCCTTGGAAGCTGACTTTAGACTTGCGAACTGCGAGCCTGAGGCAGTGTGCTCCCAGAGCTTTGGGGACCTCCTCGAGTACTGATGGGCGACCTCTGAACAAGCACCCTTAGGTTTCACTTCTTTTCCTTTCTTGTAGTTCCTTTAGTATCCCTGGGCAGCTTCACTGGGTTGTGATTTGTTGTATCTGGCCTCTGATTTTGGAAAGCTCGAGGGGACATGCAACAGTAAAACCTGTTGCTAACAGGCAGGCCATCGTTGTACCGGGTGGTTCACGGTTCTTAGATTGGGTTCTGGGCTTGCTTTCTGCCTATGGCCTGTCTTTCTTGTGTCACGCCGACCTCGCACCAAGAACCTCGCCTGGCTTGTCCGAGTTGTGAGAGCGTAAACACCTCCCTGCCCTACCCTCGGGGGTCAGAGTTGCAAGGCACTGGCCGGCTCCTCAATCCCTTTTGGGTTTGGGTTTAGGGTTGAAGGTTGTCGGGGTTTAGGGTTTCGGGGTGTCTACAGGTGGTGCTTTTGCGGGGTGACTTCCAGGTTTTGGAGTTTTGCGGGCTGGTGCCACCCGAAGCCTGACAGCAGCGCGCCCCTTGGTAAGGATAAGAAAGTATACACGGCAGCAAGTAATATGGTGGACAATGTAACGGCAAGACGAAGTAGCACGAAATCACCACGATGATCATACACTGTAGATGTACCCCGGCGCCAAAGCACCCCAAGCCATAAGCCACCACCATCATAGCACTGACAGGAACTTAAACGCCCCTAGACCCTATGTAAATCCCAAAAACCTTAAACCCCAAACTTCCAAACCAAAAACAAGCCTAAACCCTGAAACCCTGAACCTAAATATGACCCAGGAACTTCGCTTCGGCGAGCTTCTTTGATCGTCTTCGGATGGCCTTCAACCAGCGTTCGACTTTTCTGCCGGGATCGAGGTCTCAGGTGCCGGGCCTTGGTCGTTTGGGATAGTTTTGGCTTTTTTGACGCAGTTAAAGGGGTCCGAGCATTGTTTGCATCTGCGCTTTTAAGGGGTCCCATGAGGGATCTGCATAAGGGTTCCTAGAAAGGAGCATAGGGGGTTCTAAACTCTTGATGAGGGGAGCCGAAGTGGGGGAGGCTCAAGAGGGTGCAGGGCAAGGTGTAGGGTTCAAGAGTTTGGGGTTTTTGTGGTTTGTTGTTTAGTAGGTGTAGGATTTGGGTAAAGGGTGCGTTATAGGACTTCGCGTCTGGCTTCGAAGTCTGTGTTGGCCTTCTGTTGGCCTTGTCCGGGGAATCGACCGTTTCCATGTTACAAATCAGCCGACAGTGACCAGTACCAATGATCAGTGCCCACGTTTGTAATGTTTGCTCGTTTTTAGTATGCGTGTTTTCTGCTCAGTATTTAGCATGGTCTAAAATCCTGACTACATCTTAGACACATAAGCCAGGGAAGTGTCCGTCTTACGTCTTAATGCCAGACACAGGCAAAGTTGAAGCTGAGGCGCTGGTCATTGTCATGGACAGGCGTCTTGACCACCTCACCTTCAAGGACAAGACCATTTGACAAAAAAACAGGAATCGTCCTCGAAGTTGCTATGAGCATGTTCAAGGAGCAGCTGCTGCAGGAGCAGAAGCCGTTGAAATATCAGCAGCATCGCAAACTGCTGCGACCAAGATGGATCAACCCACCGCCATGGCAGCTTCAGCGTTTTGGCTTATCCTGAGTCACATCACTCCACATCTCCACCTCATCATCAGCATCAGCATCACCAACGTCAACTCCACCGATTCAAGGGTTGCTGCCGACATGGCTGTCCTTTATGGCCAGGCTTGTCTTCTATTCTCGTGTGTGAGGCTCCGTTCATTGTTTCAGCTCACTCGACAAACAAGCATCAGAATAAAGCATGGGTCGTCCCTGACCTTGGCGCCTCGTCAGCCCTGCTCTCGAAGACAGTGACACGCATCAAGACAACCTGTAGCTAGGGCGGAGCGGGAAGTTACCACCGACTATCAGCAAACAGCAACAGGCCACATTTACGCAGCAGCTCTTCTGCTTGCAGGACAAGCGCGAGAAAGAGCTGCGGAAGCCTGGAGTCCTCCAGAAGGATTACGGTGCCAACGTGTGCTGCCTGCCCCATCTTCGGCGCAGTGCTTGGGATTTCGGAGGTGTGTGCAAAGTGATTAGTAGTTGGCAAGGGTCCTGAAGATTCTTCCTTTTCTCGGCTCATGCCACTAACTTTCGGTGAGATCGTCAGCTAGTTGAGAGGTGGGGACTACTTGCCTGTGAGCTGGGCTGATCATCTCAGGCTATTCCTGGGTGTTGGGAAGCCCACCGCCTCCTGCCTCCTGACACATTAGCGCCTGCTGAAGATCGCGAGACCTACGCAAGCAAGACGATGTGTCACAAAAGGGCGTGCGAGAAGCCAATTTGATACAAGGGACCCTGTGGTGAGAATTGTAACTGCCCCTAAACAGGGGCCCCTCGGAACACACGGCATGAACGCACTGCTGTAAGAGTGGCAGAAGGATACAACTTATCCCGGAACCCTCAACTTCTGATTGATCTGTCCCGCGCAGGTAGGTTAAAGAAGCGAGCCAGTGCAGGACCACTCGCAACGAGAGTCTGTTCTGGCTACTCTAGGATTCTAGGATCCTGCGGTGATGACGATTTCAATAAGGCTCTATTATAGCCGATGTAGCCATATGAGTAGGAACAACTTTGACACTTCCATGGAAGGTGGATAGCAGAATCTGATTGGCATGTTCGTATGTCATGTCTTGCGTCCCGGTGGTTACACGTCACATGCATGTGCACATGCTTTGACATACCATGCAGGCCGGCTTGTGTGTCGGAAGTTTGACCTGTGCACTTAGACAGTGCTTTGTTGTTATGTGATCACGTCTTTTGCCTGCTATGTTTGCCTGCTATTTCTGGACGTTTTGTTGGTTTAGGGCCAACCAGGGAAAGAGTCGCAGTCGCATGCAGGTGTAACTCTGCAGCAGCTTTAAGGCAATCAAGGCTTCTCAGTTGGACTTGCGAAGCCTTTTCTGTGATGTTGTGCATTCGGAAAGCGTCCGGTGAAGAAGTTATCGCTCGGCCACTGGACAACTTTGTCGAGACATGCTTGCAGCAAGCTGACCTTGAATGTCCCACAATTCGAGCATTAAAGCGGTACCTGCAAACCCTCTGTGGGCTTCCAAGATTCAGGCAACGGCTCATACTTTCGGACGGCACTCTACTTGATGATAATGATGCGCTGGTCACTGCCGAGGCGCAGCTCGTTCTTCTGGCTTTCTGCCAAACTACCGAAGTAGAGGAGGCTGGACTCAAGTATGCGGCAGGAAAGGGCGAGACTGAAATGATGGAGAATCTTCTCCAAAGGCCACAAGATCCAGATTTGGGCTATCCGCGACCTTTGTGGCTCGCATGTGGTTTTGGCCACCTGGAAGCCGCTCGATTGTTGCTGGAAGCTGAGGCTGACACAAACGCGGCCGACACGGGTGGCGCGACCCCACTCTCTCTCGCAAGTCAGAGTGGCCACTCAGAGGTCGTACGACTCTTGCTCCTGGCCAGAGCCACATCGTCGGCCAACAATAACAATGTGACTCCGCTGCTCTACGCTTGCCAGGACGGCCACACCGAGGTTGTAAGCTTGCTGTTGGAGGCCAGAGTGGACACTAACCAGGCCACAAATGTTGGCCACACCCCACTGTTCATGGCCTGCCAAAACGGCTACACGGAGGTCGTGCGCCTCCTGCTAGCAGCCAGTGCAGACGCGGGCAAGGCCAGCAACAAGCAGGTGACACCATTGCTCATTGCATCTCAAAGTGGCCACTTGGAGGTTGCGCGTCTTCTCTTGGAAGCTCGTGTTGAACCGGGCAAGACCGACCAGAACGATGTGACACCCTTGCTGCTTGCCAGCCAAGACGGACATGTAGAGATGGCAGAGCTCTTACTTTCGGCAAGGGCCGATGTGGGCAAGGCCGACATCGATGGAGAAACTCCGCTGCTCTTGGCTTGCTTAGATGGCCACTTGGGCATTGCAGGCCTCCTGCTTGAGGCCAGGGCTGATGTCGACAAGGCCCGAGACGATGGCGCGACCCCGTTGATGCTCGCCTGCCAGAACGGCCACTTGGAGGTGGTGCAACGGTTGCTTGAGTCCAGAGTGGACCCGGGAAAGTCCGGGAGAAACGGGGTGACCCCAATGTGGTTTGCAGATCAGACCGGCAACTCGGAGTTGATCCGCCTCTTGCAGGAGGCAAGTTCTGACAGCAGAGTTCGCTCGGCGAAGAGAGCCAGGCTAGGTATTACCGAACCCAGATAGATCCGGCACCTTTATTGGATCCTGAACCCTGAGCCCTGGACCCGAATCAAGCCCTAAGCACGCATGACCTCCTTCATCCTCCTTCCTGGAGATTCGAAGCACCGGATGGTCAATGATCAGTGCTAGTCACGATCGATTCGAAGGTCTGCCCCGATGCACAGCTGCAGGAGGAAAAAGATCACTGGCATTCCTAAGCCCTACACACCCCTAATCGGCCTTAAGCCCTATGTATTAAGGTTGAAGGTTAAAAGGCATAGACAGGTTATATAAGTAGCTTCCTGATTTGAAGCCTCAAGCTCGGCTAGAACTCCGCCCCGTTGCGGTCCCTGACGAAAACAAGGGTTGAGGGTTTCACCGTCACGCCCTCCTCGAACCCATCTAATTGTCTTCCCTAGGTGTGAACTACTCAGTAACAACGCCCAGAAGGGAAAATGTAAGGACCCGTTACTGTAAGAACTTTCGTGTTTGGACTTCCGCGTTCCTCCGTCGCGCTTCTCGGGAAGTAGGACCTACCAGGGCTTATAGGGTTTAGAATAGGGCCTTGGCAAAGACCCTACTTCTCAGACCCAAAGAGTTTCAGGACGACACTGGCCAGTGAACCGAACATAG